CTGTCCTTCCCCACTTCTAGATGGGTGGTAGACTGAAGTAGCTATCATGAAAAGTAGAATTATATGTTCAAAATGGACACAGGACGTTTCATTGTATTATGTTGACATTGATGGGAAGTGGGAGGGCTTCTAATATCCTGGCCCCACTGGTGGACCTCCTGATGGCACTGGTATTTCTGGCCACTGTGTGATACAGAGTGTTGGACTGGATGGGCCTTTGGCCTGATCCAACATTGGCATCTCTTATGTTCTCAAATTGTGAACAAACAAAAAATGGCAAACATAGTGGTTACAATAAAAGTCCATATATATTCATTAAAATGTATATCTTTTTGGATCAAGATAGCTTATAATTTGTTTCATAAGAACCATAAGCATAAAATAAACTATTAATAAAAACACTTTATAGAAAAACTGATTCCTTTAGCTCATGTCTTACTAAATGCCTTTCCAAAACTTTCTGTATAAAATACCCAAGAGGGCTTACAATTAAAAAATAAACACATTAAAAATGCTTTGCTGCCCTTTTCCGAGGAGTTATTACTTCTCATTATTCCATAAAGTATGAGCTACTGCGGAAAAGGAATGGGCACCAATGGGTGTCAGGAAAGTGACCCTTGATGGCGGAACACAAAACGATGACCACTAGCAGAACATAGGTGTACAGGAACAAATAGAGAGATGGATCTTCCGATATGTAGGTCCCAGGCCAGAATGGCCTTTAAAAGTTAAAATCAGCACCTTGACTTGAACCAAGGAATAAAATGGAAGCCAATATAGTTGTTTAAATTGGCTGACAGTAACCACAGCTGCTGCATTTTGAAGCAGGTTGTAAGTTTTCAAGGACATCCCTATGAAGAACATTTTACAATAGTCCAACCATGAGGTTACAAAGCATAATCAGCATGGCCAGATCGGCTGAGTCTAAGAAGGGAGACTAAATACAGCTGATAGAAGGCACTTTTGACTACTATACCAACTTATTTTTCAAACAGCAAGGCTCAGTCCATAAGCACCTCTAAGCTTTTAAGCTGCTCTGTAAAAAAACAAAGGCAAGCCCTAATTTATCTGAAAGAATTGGGTCCATCCGCTCCACAGTGTCAGCCTTCCTGACCAACACCACCACTAGCTTGTCTGGATTCAATTTCAGCTTGCCTTGCCTTATTATTTTGAATACTTTGTGTCAGTCCCATTGTGCCTGTGGTAGTAGTGGAAAGTGCCCTCAAGTGACTCCACATGGTTTTCAAGGCAACAGACGTTCAGAGGTGGTTTGCCATTGCCTAATTTTGCTTAGCAACCCTGCACTTTGGTGGTCTCTCTCATCCAAATACGAACCAGGGCGACCCTGCTTAGCTTCCAAGATCTGGTGCGAGCGGGCTAGCCTGGGCTATCCAGCTCAGGGCTACATTGCACTTCTATTAGAGTGGGGGCATATGCTCTAGCTGTCATGGATATGCCACTGAAAATGGCAACTGATCCCTTCCTAGCCTATAGAAGTACTTACAATGTGAAGAATTAACGTGAAACCGTGAGTCTCCAAGAGTCCCTACATTCCATTTCCTGGTTACTGTTAGGTGAATATCTGAAGACTCACAGCCTGGAAACTCCACATGGTAAGTTAGTGCTTCTGGATGTTGTGGGCCGGGCAGGGATCAGTCAACATAAAAGGCCATCTTCAAAAGCACCACGGTGGTGACTAATGTGTGCCCTAATTCTCACTTTTCCACTAAAAAAGAGACATCATAACCAGATACCACCAAATAGGAAGAGGAATAGTGCTTGATAATATTTTGTTCTTTTTTCTGATCATGCATAAACTTTGAGGGAACTGTATCAAAGGAGTTATAGCTCCATGTGATGGAAATTATCAGTGCTGATAAAGGCATTGGGATTAATGTCATAGTTGTTCATAATGTGCCATATCCTTATCACAAGTGGTACATGGTTATCCTTGGTCACGGATAGGATCTGGCACCCACTGATATATCCAAGGAGATAATTTAAGAATAACTAGTACTTAGCATTTACTTTTAGAACGTTTGTACCACTCCATAGGTATTCTCAACAGTTCTTTCACGAACACAATAAACTAGTTCAGTAGTGTTATACCTGTTAAGAGATGGAAGACTAAGGCTGACAGTAGTTTGTCTTATGGACAAGGAGAAACAGGCACCTGTGAGCTTGTGCAGTAGGATTTTGTGTGATTTCAGAATTGTGTAACAGATTGTAGTTTAGCCACTACACTACACCAACTCTCATTTCTTTTCTTCTTCCTGTAGGCATCAGTTTATCATACATCAGATTAAATACAGATGTGTAAAGGTTTTGATGACTGACAGTTTTTTAAGCTGTGCCTGTGCCTTTTTTAAAGTGACCCAAGGTAACACTGACTTCAGTCCTGAACTTGTTCTCTTTTTTTATTCCTTTCCCTTTGGCTTTAGAGCTGATAAGCATGTCATACTTGATTGCTCTTAGTGTAAATGGTACAAAAGGCACCTTTCCAGCAGTAATAGGGATTCTAATAATTATGCCAAGAGGAGGAGCCAGTTTTAAAACATGGGCAACTCCCAGAAGCAACATTTCTATAGTTAATGGCTGGAAGGATTAAAAAAAAATCCAATGTGGAAGGGATAGTATTAGTTTTACGCTGAGACCTGTAATATTGCCTTGTGCAAGAGTACAAGTGCTGAAAGAGGTGCGCTGAAGGATATTAGTAAATTTGTTGCTGAGGGAAATATTTATTAAGTAAGAATGCTTATTCACAGGCAAACTCCAATCTTAAAAAACTAGAATTATCAGTTTTTATTGAAATGCTGGGGCGAAGAAGATACAATGTGTGAAGGAATTTTCTGAGAATGGTAAAAAAAAGTGTGGTTGATCCTGAAATATAACGTCACTCTGGTTTATGCTAATACGTTCTAAAATGGTCACTTTTGAAATGCTTAACAGGAAAAAATGTGCTATTTAAACCATGGTTATACACAGGTTGAAAGTGTACCTACCTTGAAGTGGGTTAACTCTGAAGGGTTAATATGTTGAACCTAGCTATTTGCTTTGACATTACCTGCTTTGTGTGAGCTCCCCTTCACTTCCTCCCCCTTCCTCTGGCTTGTAAATTTATGGGAATTGCAGCTGGTCGACTTGGCAAGCTCCCCTCATTAAGAGCCCCCTTTGAGAACGGGCTGTGTTTGAGTATTTCCCTAATGAGGACAGGACGGGGTTAAAAAGTGACCATTTCATGGTTGACTTGAACCTGCCTGTTTCTCTTGATGTGTCGTCGTGAAATGCCTGACGCGAATAAATCCCACTCTGCTAAAGGAAAAGTCACTGGTCCCTTCAGGACAGCTTGCGGGAAAGGGGAACTTAAGGAGGCGTCCGAAAGTTTACCTGAGACAGGGAAACCGCGGCAAAGCTACGAATGGACCCTGCGAGCCTGCTCTGAGGGCCTCTGTTTTGCAGCACGTGGGCCCCTCAGGTCAAAGTTTGGAAAGTGCTGGTGTGTGTCTGAAGGCAAGAGCCCCCCCCCCTCCCCCGTGAGCCACGCTGCTGCAATGTTCTGCTGCAAAGACGTTGAAAGGAATGGCTAGTTGGCAACCTCCTCAGACTGTGTGCACACGGCTCCCCCCTCCCGTTTTCTTCTCACTGTCTTTTTGCAAACTCTTTCAGGCTTTTAGTTGTGTGTGCGTGTGAAGTTATTCGCAAAAGATTCAACCCCCCCTTCCCCCGCATACTGTGAGAACCGGAGTTGTTGGTGTGTGTGTGCCCGCGGGGGGGGGGGCAGTGTGTGTTTTTTGTTCGCTGCATTCCTACAGCGTAAAAAAAAAAATCGCGCGCGCGAACTCCTTCCTGGCACGAGCTGGTTGGTAAGATTGAAAGCAGGCTAGTGTGTTGCTACTGCGGGTTTTTTCTTTTCGTGTCCCGTCCCCCCCCCCCCCCCCCCGAGGCAGCTGCCACCCATTCCCTCCCTGAGCTTTTCTCCTCGAGGAGAAAAGGAAAAGCCCGCCTGGGAGGGACCAAGCAGCCTCTCCGGGAACCCTACACGCGTACGAGCGAGCCCGCCACTGCCAGGCGAGGGATGGGGGCCACGTGTAAGGGGCTTCCCGCGAGGGAAGCGTCTCGCTCTCGTGCACACACGGCGTCTTGCGAGAGGCCGCCGGCCCCATTTGCACTGTGAAGAGGAGGAGACACGAGCAAGG